CCTGGTAGGTTCCAACACAACTGCGCTGATTACTAGCTGCAATATTATGGAATAATAATATAATTTAATTTAATAATTTAATTTGGTGTTCAATGCGTTCCATATGTGTTTGATCCAATGACCGGGATAGTAATGTGAAGCGCTTACAGGCTTTTTAAAGGCATGAAGCGCTATATAAGAAGGACATATTATTATTATTATTAATATGTCAAAATAGAGAATTATTAAATAGGACACGTCATATCCAGTTTTGGGTACAGACGTTCATAACGAATAGATATCTGGAAAGTCACTTTGCCTGTTTACAAAAAACAGCGAAACATACATGTCACATACATATATACCTGTCTCTTATACACATCTAGATGTGTATAAGAGACAGGGGTTAATGAGATACACATTTTTTAATATTTAAAAACTTGGGGGAAAAAGGGGCATAACCACCCCCCCCCCCCAATTTTTTAATGTTCAAAAATCTCATTAATAGTTCCCAATTTTTTAGTCAAACACCCTTTTTGTGTCTTAGAAAAATTAGTTGAACAACATATCAACATTTTTTTCCTTCAGAGCCTGGCTTTAAAACTGTCAATATTATTATGTATATTTCAATCTTTTTTTTTGTTCAGATATGATAGATACTTCACTTAAGTCAATATCAAACTATTTTTGTATATTCTAAAGTACAGTAATTATAACTGGTTCCATATTGCAAATCAAAATATATTTGACAAAATATAGTCAGTAGAAAAAAAAAAAAGACTTAAACAAATTAGTACAGTACAGTAGAAAACTAAAAGTGTACTCTAAAATTGACTGGTAAGATTTTTCAATGAAAAAAATCTGAAAACTAAATTATTCTGAGTTTTTTCTCATTTGGACTTTACACCTAGAACACATTTAAACAAGAAAATCAATTATTTATTAGAGTAATACTGAAAAATCATATATTATGTTTCCACTCTGCAAAGTCCTACTTCTGTTGGTCAGTATCAGATGTTATATCCTCTGTATATAACAACACTGTTTTTAATGGCAGTGCATGAAATGCTACAACCTTCAAAATACGAATAGTTCAAAGAATTGCGGCTCACAAAAGAATGGTCATCGGCGGCACTTATCTTTAACACATTCAATACACCAGCTCGTTAACTGTCACGGTAATTGGTCGGCTTGGTCGGTACTATTAATTAATTTAACAACATTCATTTATAAATGCAGCTTAATGCTGTAATATTAACTAAAAATCAATACTATCAGTCACATATGGTTTCTCTTGCTGGAGGAATAAGGAGAACAATTTGCTTAATGTTGATGGTTGTCAAGACATATATATATTAAGTTGGTTACTTTAAACCATATCTTCTCAGTCTAAGATCTATAAAACATTCTTAACTTCAGGGATGTCAATTGGTTAAGCCAGGGACACATTGCGACAGGCACGCACTAAACCTACCGTCATCTATCGATGTTATTACATAACGAAAGCAGGACATAAACAAATTCAATTTAAAAATTCAGCCTCTGTGAGGTTTGTATCATGAGTAAAATATTAGATTATAATCATTAGAAATCACTGTTTTAACAGAATCGTCCAGATGTAATAAATGGGTTATATAGTGAGCCCATTCCGTTGCCTTTTGTTGAAAACAATAACCCAGTGAACTGACTATACTTAATTAGTTGTAGCAAAGTGCCTCATCTTACTGTAGCAACATACTCCCTGTTGACCATACTACAAGAGTCCTTAAATTGTTTTTCTCTATATAATAAATTATTAAATTGCAGTTTAGTCAAGTAGTCTACTTGCACTTATATATTAACAGAAACATAACTTTCCCAAAACTCATTTCGATTTACTCAATTAAATCACTACAGCGTTTTGTGATAGCTGGCATTTACACGAAGAGGGGTCCTTCATTTCATGGATATGGTATATGAACATTTATTATTATGTTTATTTATAATGGTCATTTCATTTCATTTATTTCACCACTTGATAAAAAACACACAAAGCAAGACATTAAAAATGTTTTCAATTGGAATATTATGCAAAATATAAATTGAAATTAAACATTATTCTTTCTTCATGTCTGTATTTATCCACTTTGATATAAACTCTAAGTTCAGGGAAAGAATTTTACTTACAATTTCTGCATTTTACGTAGTAGTGAACTTGTATTATATTCAAGACGGCTGTTCTTTGTAAGACCAAACTGACGAGCGCCTCCAAGTGTCTCTAATGAACCATAGTAACACTGGGGCGGTGTAAATGTTGATTCCTGTCCAATTAGTGGTTGTTGGTTCTGAGATGTCACAATAGCTAAGAGGGCCGAGAAAACACAAAACGTCAATTTGGAAACTATCTCTTGTGTCTAAGGTCACAATGGCTATGTTCACACACGGCACCTAACGGTTAGCAGGATGCGAATTATGCTAACCGTTAGCTGCCGTGCGTTCTTACGAGAAAATCCCGATCCAGATACCAAGAAGATGATGATCGAATTACTGGCCAATAGGAAATTGGAAATGCGTGAGTGTAATTGGTTAAGGACAGAAACATTCTCAGCTTGCTAACCGATAGCGCTCACTAACAATTAGCGTATCCGAAACTCGTTAAGTTAAAATTACTATATATTTGTAGTTGTAATTACACCGAAAGCCAAGACATGATCAGCTCTCCAAAGCTCAATGGGTTACCCTCACAAATTGATGCTGGAAAAATGAATATGGTAAATATATAGTATTTTAGGGTTTTGTTGTATTAAATCTAGGCTCCGGAGAAAAATATTTTCATTGGTATGTTGTATAACTGATTCTTCTAATACACAAAGAGGTTGTGCGAAAAAGACTTGGGAACGCTAATGAGATACAGATGTTTCAAAATTAAAAACTGGCGGATAAGGGAGTTGTAAATAACTTTTTTCCAACTTTTTTCCCCCAGTTTTAAAACATTAAAAAATCTGTATCTCATTAACCGTTCATGAGTTTTTCGCCAAACACACTTTCTTGGATCTTGGAATAAAAGAGCCTGGCTTTAAACATGCAGTTAGAAACCAGACACTGTACTGCAGCATTTTCAGAAAGACACAAAATGGGGTTGTCACATTAGTCGCTGATGGCTTGACCGAAAGCAGTTTAACATCGTACCCATATACCCTATACCATCTTCAAATGTACTATTTTGCTTTATATGTTTGGCCTCGATCATTTGTAGATATATGTTTTCAATCCACACTATTGCATTCTACAATATTCTGAGTTTGTAAAAAATTCAATTTAATTTTAAATTCAATCACAATTTTGAGCTGTTGAATAAATGAAAATTGAATGGAAACTTTGTTTTCTTTATTATTTAACAAGTATTATTTTATTTTATGTTACTTTAATCTTGTTGATTATTTCACTGAATGCTAAAAGATCAAAGAAAAAAAATTACATTTTCTGTTGTCACATACCAGACAAAAAATATTAGGCCATGTAAAATTTGAAAATTAATTATCATCCTTATTTTATCAATTTTCATGGTAGGGAGGTTTTTTTTTTCTTGTTGAACATGAAAAAAGAGTGTCGCAAGGAAAAACAGCAAAACAAAGAATAAGACAATAGAGACCAAAATTGTATACAAGAAAGTAATTCATCTATAGCAAACAGGAACTTTACCTATGAATATTGTCATAATGCAATTATTTCTATATAATCACGCACAATTGATCAAAATAATCACGATCAAGTGATCTGGGTGTGCGGTCTGGTAGTAAACAAACCTATATTAAATGAAGTTTGTGAGTTTTCTGTAAAAAAAAATTTTTTTTTAAAACATGGGTCGGTGGCCTCTCTGATGGTAGGGAGGGGATGCTAACCAATTGTTTTTTTTTACATGGCCTTATGTAACTTCACTAATAATTCTATATATAATTTTTGTGATCCACTCTGCGTAGAAAATAAACTATTCAAAATCTACCTGCTAGGTCAATGGACATTGTCGCGGTTACAGCAGCAGTTAAGGCTTCTGCCGACACAGTTGGCTTTGGTACTGAACATACATCAATGGCTGCATTGGAAAAGCTAGTATAGTTAGCAAAGTCAATGGGTCTGCAAACAAAAAATTATTTTAAATAAGATATCATTCTATCTAAAAAATAATCATCATTTATTATATTATTAGGTGTGTTTTAATTATGTACAGACTTCAGAATAGCATCCAAAAATTTATTATTTTTTTAATCAGGCAATCATGAAAACTTAATGAACCTTCCGAAGGTCAAGTAGATTATAATTCTTTTTTTTGGCTCAATTGCAGATGGCCAAGGTTGCATGTAATAAAGATAATAGGATGCTTAATGAGCTGCATCAAACACATAAACTGATCCCTGCAATGCTGACCTTCTCTCAGGTCTGCTTAAATTATCATATGTTTGGACAATGCAGAAAGAAAGAAGACAACAAACAAAGAAAGAAAGCTGTTCCAAGTCCTTCAGTTTCATAGACCCTAGTCTCAGCAGGGCTTTAATATTGAGCCTATAAAACACACGGCACCAAATGAAACTAATGGAAGTCCAGCCATAGCCATGCCGGAATATATACAATGATATTGTTGACATACCTTTCTCTAATAATGACATCTTGAATGCAGCCCGAGAGGGGAGGGACCGGGGTGGAATATTCAGGGGGTGCACCGCCAATGAATATAGATGTAACAGCAACCTTCTCCTCGCTACCTGGTAGCTTACGACTTTTGGGCACAGCAATGTCGTCGACATACAACTTGATTCTAAAATGGATGATAAATTAATTAATGAATTTAATGTTTTGACTGAATCCACCTCTATCACACAATCCTAACTAAATTAAGCTTTTCCTCCATGGTGGCACCTCTCCCATCGGACAAGCATAGAACTTCTGAAGAAGTCATCAGACCAAAAGTGATAATTTGCCAATATTGTACTGTACAAAGTTTACTGTGATTACCAATCGTTTACGACAAATTTGAGAGGCTATTGGATACAAAACATTGAACAGAGAAGACGCCACATACAAACTTACAACTAGCTTATCAGTCCTAAAACTACTGGTAAAGGGCAGCCCACAGCATCAGGAAATGTCAACAACTATCTAACCAGTCATTTTCTGATGAAGATCCTTCTTGATAACGGATCAAACTTTACAAACAGTTATGTATATTATTGGTTTACTTTCACAAGAATCTTATGTTTATAATACTGTGGTTTGAAGGCAAAATTTTGGCCCATCCTACACAATAAAATTTCTTCCCAAGAACCCCATATCCTCATTCATTCCAAAACCCTGACCAAGGCTCTAAACAGCCCCTTGGATTGGACTCCCCTCACCGGATTTATTGGAACCCCATCAGGGAGCCGCTATTGCTTGTTTTAAGTTCAATAGAATAATCCCTTCAAGCTGATCTCTTAGCAATAGGTATACTGGGATGGCCACCGAAAATCAGAGTGCGGAATGGATTCAACACTCAAAGTAGGGTATATCCAGCTATTAAAAACTCACTTTTTTCCTCTCTTTTCAACTGTCACTACGTGTGGCTGTCCATCATTATACATTCCATTGCTTTTCTTTGTTTTTACAATGCGTTCACCAAGACCCGCATTTACAACTACCTCAACATGGCCGCCACTCAAGTAGATGGAATAACCACTCTAACAAGAAAAAATATTTTGACAATGAAAATAAGGGAAAGAATAGAAAGGTCCACTGATTTATCTCAGATAAGATAGTATAATACATTCTCCAAGTATCAAAATGCACGCCATTGTGTTGGGATTCAATATTTCAACATTAATTACGTCATCATCAGGAATAATGACGATGACATATAAATTAATGTTGAAATATTGAATTCCAACACGATGGCGTGCACTTCGATACTTGGAGTATCTATTATACTGTCGAATAGAACACTCCAGTCATTAAATTTTTAGCTGGCTAAAGTGAATTTTATAAGTATGACAATTACCCATTTATAGTGAATGTCATTTTGTCAGACAAGTTCATTATTTCTGTAGAAAATTATATTCTCTAGTCTACCGCCTGTGAACAAAAGAAAGGCTGTATGCATTTGTAATATAATTAAAATCTATCACACCATTGACTGCACCACAAAACGAAGGGTATGAGCAGCACCTACTTCTAATTTTGCTTGATCTATTACCTCTGTGTTGTCCACATTATTCCTTTTCCTGCGGTTTTGTTTGTTGACAGCATGAAGGAAGAGTCCGTCCTCTTGGTGAGTAGAAAACGTGAGTGTAATATCTGCATTTGATGGCAGATTAATCCCTTCCAATTCAAGGTAACCTTCCCCTTGGAAACTGACCACTCTGGAGGGCTACGTGTGGACAATTTTAGAAGACAAGAAAGATCAACGAACGGATAGAAATATAGATCAAAATTATTTTCAATGATGATGGTAATGATTGTGATACTGTTGATGTGGATGGATCAGGATAATGATGTTCATTCATCATCATATCACTTTTATAGACAAAAAAAAATTATATATAGCACCCACTATGTAAAAACCACAAAATAGCACCCTCTAAGTTATTTATTTTTAAATTGTAGTTGTGGAACTGCTATCGATTACAGTTGTAATTGGTCGGTATAGCTTCCTTAAAAAAGCTGATATGGCCATTCACATTTTAATGACGAATTCACTTCATTTTTACATTAGACCTACATATTTTCCCACGATATCACCAGCCTGGGCCTGCTGCACGTGGTTTGTTTATAATATAAATTCGCACTGGTCTAGTCTATAAATACCAGACATATAACAAGATTTTGGGCGCACAGCCATTAGTTGATAGGTGTAGTTGGACGACATGAAGTGTCTGGACTTCAAGACTAGTAATTACTTTCGAGTACGAATATGAACAGCAGCCATTAGGCTGACTTTAAAATAGGTCTAGTCTATTTCGTTTGCATGTGTGGGAAAGGCAATCTAGACAGACTAAGAAAGGGTAGTTAAATTGGGATTTAAAGTTGTTAAACTAATTAAAAAATCATTCACTAAGTGATGATAATAATGTAGTTTATATATTCGTTCGTTCGATTGATATTATATTTTGAATTCCAAAAAATCTCAGAAGTAGTTTTAATATTTTTATTATTCAGTTTATTTTTAATACTTTTAAATGGAATAACCTGATTAAAATTGAAAAAGATGATGATGTTGATAATGGTGGCTATGATGATGATAAAGGTAGTGTTGTTGGTGGTGGTGTTGACGATAAACATGATGATGGTGGTTGTGCTTATGCTGATGATGATTTGATATGGCTAAAACTATCTTACTGCCACTCACCCGTGTAACACATCCAAAGGTAACACCCGAAAAGTCTTTGCTGGTCTTGAACGACACAAGCTCACCACTGAAGTCCACTTGTCTTATGCATCCACGAAACGGTGTACGAGTCACATCAACTCTAAGACAAGTTCAAACATTCTTTTGTTCAATATCAATGCGTCATTATTCTTTGAATTACTCATCAAAACTCCAGCAATATTTGGGGACGTACTTGGACAGTGGCATATCTAGGCACCTTGAAATGGGGGAGCGATTGGAAAGGCACTAATGTGGAGTGGGAGGAGGGGCTGGATAAATGAGGGGAGGGGGGCGCGCTAGATCACAAAATAAGAAAAAATAAGATGATTTGAGGTGATTTTTAAATTTTGTGCACGAATTCTTCTGACATTTTCAATGTGGGGGGAAGGGGGTAGGGGGTGCCCCGCTTAATATAACACACCAGGTTGGGTAAAATCATCATTCCTATTCTGTTTTCTGACACATCATTCAAACTGCTAGTTCAGTGACAAGAAATGTGACTACAGTAAATTTATACAGTCCTTACATATAAAAATGGTTATCATTTGTCAATGTATTTTTCTACTTATACCTTAACTGATACATCATATCTAAGCCACCAAAGTAAAGTTTTCCGTCAATTGTAAGGTCTTTGTTGGTAGATTCAAATGTGATGACAATCCACGGTTCACTGTCAATCTTCATCACGGCTGTGGATGCAAATAATTGTAAACAACTACATATTTTCAAGATTTTCACAATCATGGTGCATTAAGTTTAAATTAATGTTGATATACTATTAAAATATATGTAAACATTGTTTCATTTAATTAATTTTGTCATTACAATACAAAATAGTTATGAAAAACACTACATCTAAAAAAGCAATCGCACTGCACTTAAAAAAGAGAAGAATTTACCGAGAATGTGGGCAACATTAGAAATTTTACTGCTGTCCACACTTGGATTGTTAGTTTTACTGCGAGAAGTGGTAAAACTAACCAAATCAAATATTAAGGGCGCTAATCTGTAACATTCAGTTGACTTCTGAAGTTTAAATGAGACATTGGACTTTTCAGCTCGGTAAAACTAATCTGGTCAGTTGTACTGGGCACAATACACTCTGTTAAACTTGCCACTTGTCTGAGTAAGTTTTCCTTAGAGGAAAGTATCCTGGGCTGTTTGCATTGAACTAATTATGGACGTACTGTACACCCTGCGTTTTACCAAAAAAACGGTAATGCAACTGAAGATTTATTTTAAATGCTTTTCCCTATGAATACTTCTATTGTAATATTATGTTCACATGGAGCTTTCGAATGCTTACGTGGTAGAATCAAGAACATAATGACATCACTAATATTTCATCTGTGGATTGAGAACGTTAAGTACTATTGAACTAAAGTGGATTCAAGGACGCAATTTGACCAAATCATGCAGAGAACATACCGTATTGTCTCTAATAAACGCCACTCTTCTAATAAACACCCCCTCTGAGTTTTTTTTTTTCATTTTGCAATGAGTGCCCAATCAATTAACATGGGTATCCAGTCCATAAAAAGGTTGACAAACAAGGAGTAATACCGTACTGTGTGCTGCTGCTGCTTTCTTTGATATGAAATGAAATAAATACTACTAAAAAAAGCTTACCCTAAAGTTTGATGTTTACTGTCTTCACGATCTTTAGGCCGACCAGTAAACTAACGTTAGAATACCGCACTTTCGGCGGTAAAGAACAATTAAAATAAAAAAGGTGACTAATCCATTTACCCATAATTGAATCCAAAGACACCAGTGTTAAACACTCAATACTTATCCTTGATAATGTATTAATCCAATTAATATAGTGAGATAACGTAACGTTAATTTATCGAGGGCGGGTTGAGCTAATCACTAGGCCTAGGCCTATTTTGTGTTTCTCTCATGGTATTTCGTTAGCCTTGTAAAAACAGGGTAAGCTGCAAACTGACAGCAAACAACAGGTAATCTTGTATTGTTAATGTGTCGCGTGTTCGACGCTGATTTGATTCAAGGTGTCTGGTCAATGAAGTCTATACCGTAGTGAGAATGTTTCTTCAGTTTGAGGGCAGTGTTTTGTGTGCGGTGGCAGCTACGACTCTGTGCAGTGGTGCGGTGCTAGTTCATGAGGCCGACATGTTTTTGACAAGCACGCGATTGCTGTTGTGAAAGGAGAAGCACTGCGCTGCATCGTCGGACATTTACCCCAAGAGAACTCGAAGATATTTCATTGCTTTTTGAAACACAAGCAATTATTGATGTTCAAATAACCAGCAACAAATGAAGGAACAGCAAAATATCAGGAGGCCTGGAGATACCCTGCACATTAACTTGTTCCTCTACAAATAAAGAACTTATTGAACGTTTAAAGCAGCTTGTTTAGGCCTAGGTAATTTTTGATTTTACAATTCACGCGCCCCTACCCCCTTTGAAAAAATGCAACGCCCCCGGGGCGTTTATTAGAGACAATACGGTAAGATGGTCACGCATGAGTGAGCCCGTTTTAGGGTCAAATCGAAGGCTCCTTACTGTCTCCTGGCTCTCACCTTGTTTGCCTGATCGCTTGGTATAAATCTGATGCCACACTCCATCGTTCAACTTCATATGGGATGTGATGTTGAATGTCTCACTGCCAAAACTGAACTTGTAAACAAGCCTTCCCCCAATCATTTCATATGACATAAACATGTTCTGGAATAAAAGCAAAGAAAATAAGTAAATTCTCATAATTATTTCAAACACATTTTTGTCAAATATTCAACTTACAATTACAGATATATGTTGTGATGTACGTGGGAATGTTATGGTACATAGTAATGTACGGTATTAACCTATGGTAAAGCTGAGGAAGAACATAACAATGAGAATTTGAGAACAATTTAACAGGTGGTTAAATTTTTGGAAGTTGAGAGGGGCAAGCTATTGTTTGAAGGAATAAAATAATTTTAAAAAAATAGATCTAACCTGATCTTCTGATGCAGCATAGAAAACGAGGGCATCCTCCGTGTATGTCTTGATTGACATTTTAAATGTATCAATTGGTATATCGTTTTGTTCGAGTATAGCATAGCCAGTCCCTTCAAAGCGGTATTCATCTGCGTTGCTAACCTCTTCTTCCGGACTAGAAAAAAAAAAGGACAAAAGAAATAAATCAGTTTGTTTTTCTGTAATTGTTATCTAACTTTATATCAGACAATTGTAGGTATAATGTTTCCATTATCTATTATAGAATTGCAAGAAGTTGAGCTCTCAGGGTTTCGTTGAAACGCAATTCTCTCTCCACGAGTTAAGCCAGGCACTCACTACATTGTACGATGGTTATGACCGTCGCATGACAAATCCACCTCTGCTTCTGGCTAGCGATAGATGATGTAATGCTGTCTGTCGATTGTCAGTCTGAACAGATCCTCATTAAATAAGCAATCCGTTGGTTCCGTGTCGTCGCATGCAATTGTTGTCGCGTTGCCGTCGCACACAGCGAGCACCCAGCATAGGAAGGCATTTTTTTTAAAAGAATGTAAAAGATGTTTGTATCAAATGTGTGCCGCATTTATAGAACACATGTTTGTGTTTTGAACGCTATTCAAATTCTAATAGGGCGCCCCCTATCTTGTGGTAGTAATTTGTTTTTCATTTAATTGTCTGCATGCATAACCAGGACAGTCAGATTTTCAATTCTATACTCTTTGACATCGTTGCTAATTCAACCCTAGCCATATTATACGCAAGTTCCCTAGTGGTAAGATACAAAGCTAGTAACTCCAAATACCATTTTTTTGATTCACATCTAATTCAATTTCAATGTTTAAAATTTACAGGGTACGTGAATTTGCTGCTAATTTAATTTGCCTAGTTCTTTAACTTCATCACAAATCGCACCCAATATGTTACCTTCTTGTTTTCCAACAGTGTTAGGGTGTCTCTCAAAAATTTTTTAAAATTTTAAAATTTTATTTTTTAATTTTTTCCATTATTTGGATTGGCTGTTTTTGTTTGTTTTTACTTTCAGAGAACAGAGATATATTTATTTCATGTATTTTTCCTTAAGTTAGTGGAAAAACTTTGTACAGCAATTTAGTTTGCTTTTTGTTAATCCTGTCTGATTTTTAGTCTTATTATTTCTGTTTGTAATGTTTGACAAAATAAATCAAACAATCATCATCGTATTAAATAAACATTTATAAAGAAATGCTTGTGTCTTCATTGTGTTATTTATATATTTTAACACCGTATATGTTGTATTTAAAACCCTGTTTCTCAAAGTGTTTCGTTACACATACTGTTGATTAAGCGCAGCAGCGCTTATTCAAGAGTGGCACTTATTCAAGCATTCAAGGTATTGCTTTAATTGTTTTGAGTGGTTCATGTATATTTTACACAGCCTTGTATTTCTTAATTTTTTAACATTTGTATATTATAATGCAAGCAATGAATTACCATAATGGAGAAATAAATTTATTCTTATCAGGAACAGATATCAAGAAGCAACATATATGTACTATATACTATAAATTTCCATTAAGGTTTTTTTTAATTGAGTTTAGCTAATGAGAGTTGAAATTGCTCCTTGTATAAAAACATTGTTATAACTTGCACTTAAAAATAGAAAGCATTGATCACAGGGCATCAGCTGGCAAAAGAGCAGATTTTGAAATATGCGGCAATGATATTAAAAAAAGGCTAAGGGCTCTTGACCCACCTCGACAGACCTACTCTTGCATATGACCCTAGGGCACATCAACACACAAGCCAATATCAGTAAGCTAGAAGCTGTCCAAAGATGAGCTGCCCGACTTTTCACTGGTGATTATCACTGGACAGGCAGTTACAAGCATGATCACACAGCTGATTTTGGCCCACTTTCCACCAACGCAGAAATACCAGCAAACTCATAATGATGTACAAGATACTCAACTCACTAGTTGATATTCCAACCTATTCCTATCTTACTCCACTACCCACCTGTACTAGAGGTCATAGCCTTAGATTTATCATACCATCAGCAAATTCACTAGTGTACCAACATGCATTTTTTCTCAGAATATCAGAATATGGAAAACTCTGCCAGCACCCTTGGTCCCCTCTTGAAGGCTTCAGAGGAGGACTGGCCAAAAGTGCTTTTTATGTAGTAGCAAACTTTAGCCGCACTGTACAGTATTTATTAGTGTTTTTTGCACTCTGGTGGATTTTGTGTGTCCCTGCACTGCACATGCTCTCAGGTTGTGACGTTACTCCTAATGGAGGTACCGTAAATGCACGGCGCTTATACAATTTTTGGAGGCTTCAGTGCAAATCTTATTAAAGAGTGGTGCTTAAAAAAAAAATATTGGCATGGCGCTTTCCATGCCGTTTCTATGTTAACCAACACACAAATCCATTCCCTTAGTTCAGTAAGCCTATCATCGTTCCTACGTCAAAAATAAACGTTTATAAAGAAATGCTTGCGTCTTCATTGTGTTATTTATTTATTTTAACACTGTATACATTGTATTTAAAACCCAGTTTCTCAAAGTGTTTCATTACACACAGGGTAATATAATACTCCTGATTAAGCGCGGCGGCACTTATTCGAGAGCGGCACTTATTTGAGCATTTACAGTATGCAGCTTACAAGAAGATGACCGCCAAAAAACATGATGTTCAGTTGTTGTGAAAAAACAGTGCAATCAACGTGAAAATATAGGATGAGGAAACATCCAAATGATGAGTGTGAAATAAATCTGCAATGTGTTCAAAAATATTATAAAACTTACGCTCGGGAACACAAACTGCAATTACCACTGGACGTTAAGAAGTTGTGCAGAGCGACAACATTTTCGTTGAACACAATAGTATCTAAGCAGCCGGTAAATGTTGTGGCTGTCAGCTGCGAATCCTAGATAATAATAAAAAAGAAAGTGGTTAAAAAAATTCAATCTACTTACAGTACCTTTTATTAATTTAAGCTAAAAAATATAAACAAATTCATTCAAAATTTAAATTGCTTACTGAGATTTCAATTGACACAATCAACAACTACGGTCATGCAAAAAAGGTCATTGATGTTCAATAAATTTGGTTGGAATGCTATTAAACTATACCAATAACCTGTAAATTGAACTTGGGAAAAATTTTCCAAATGTACTGGCCCCAAATATTGAGATTTTCAAGAAGTGTACTGGTACCGGAACAGGTGATTATAATGGGCCTTTTCCTTGTGGTTATAAAGCGCGATTCTTTTTCTGGTCATTGGGTCAACATGCTTGCTGCTGGTAATCCTTGCAGGAGCTGGCACCCCCACCAAGTACCCATTTATACTCCTGGGTGGAGAGAAGCAATGCAGATAAAGCGGCTCGCTCAAGAAAACAAGTGAAATGCACAGCGATGGCTGGGAAAAACAAAAATGTTCCCGTGCCACACCGCTTCTGTAGTGTAAGGCCTTTGGCCTCTGCATGTCGTCTGCTTGATCCGCATACTGCGGAGGGGGACACGCTACGATATTTAGGCTAGCTCAAGGTTCATGAAAGGTTACATGAATTTCAAAGCATAAAATACAAAAAGAATGCTTGAAGGAGTATAAATTGTACTCTTTTCTTGCTATTTATTAATCATGTTGAGCTTCATCTCCACAAATTTTCGAACGACAGAAACATGTTTGAAAATTAGGTCATTCCAAACGTGTAAGAAAAATTAATCCACCTCATTATATTCTCATTGAATATCCATTAGCTTAGCGATAAGGGGGCAGCCCTTGACAGAGGTTAACAGAAACGCATTCAAACATAGCTGGTCACATTTGAATGTTATTTCAAGACGTTCCGACTGGGCCTAGGACTGCGAATCACAGTTTTTTTCTCATCATGGATAGCCCTGGGAGCTGTTGTTGTCATTACAATTACTTTCCCTAACACTTTACACTTATCGCATGGTATCTAACCTAAACTAAATGTCACAAAACTACCAGTTTCCAGTTGACAATTGTTTTTTACTTTCCTTGCATCAAAGCAAAAAAAAAATAGTTGCTATAAATTAATATTAATAATGAAGTTTAATTTAATGTACTTACTGATTCTCCAGCAGGTAATCCGGAAACAAAAAAGTGACTGTTCTCGTTGAATGTAAGAATTGTATCAGGTTCTGGAGATGCGCCATTTTCTGGCAAGTTTTGTTGCTCGTCTTTCGTCGCTATAGTATTGACATTCAGCGAGGCCTGTCGGCCAGACCTACAATCCATGCAAAAAAAAAAAAAAATTGACGTTAGTGCACAGTGTGAAGGTAGGTTGGCGCAATAGAGATGGTTTACTTTCCCAACATTGAGGTCGGGGTTTCAATCCTTCGCTGTGCATTTCACTTGTGTCGTTGAGCAAGGCACTTTATCTACATTGCTTCAATACCCAGCTTGGGTATTAATGGGTACCAGCAACTTGCTGGGAGTAAACTGCAATGGACCAGTATCCCAACAAGGGGGAGCACCACACTCGTTCGCTTCACGCTACTGAAACAGGGGATAATCTTGAAAGTGTACATGCAGAAATGAAAAAAAAATTAACAGCAACTTCTCGCTTGTAGTAGAAATACACAAATCAGCATTGATGTTGGCAGTCTACGAGTGAGTTAATTACCTGAACAAACCACCATATCCACGGTTCCAGTAGGAATACCCCCACGAAAACAATAGAACAATCAGCTGTCTGTCCCAGGCCACGACATGATGCTTATGCCCAAAATCTATTGTTTTCGTGGTGGTGTTCCTAAAAAATAATGGCAATTAATCAGTTCATCCAGCTATTCACGTAATAGCCACAAGTTTCCCATGAACAGAAATTTCGACATGCTGAGTTAAAAAGCAAATCATGTCACTTTTGCAGAACAAGGATTCAATAAAAAGCAATCACTGATAAGCAATCTGTTTTCGATCTTGCAAGAAAGGAATTAGAAAATAGCGTGGTGAAAGTCAATCTTATATGGTGGTAGCATGGTGATTTGAATGCTTGCCTTCTAACCATAGGCTCCTGGGTTCAAATTCTATGAGAGTGCAGAATTTTTTTCTCATGACTATAAAACATCTCCACTTCCTAAGCCTTGTATTGAGACTTTTCATATATTTAAGAGGAGGGGGCAGGGGAATACTGAATAGATTCAGATTTATATTTATTCACACAATGCATACAGGTGGAATCAAGACAAAAATAATATCAGCAGACCGTTTCGGATACGCTGGAAGTGCCGCTCTCTGGTAATATGATTAAAAAATGATCATCACCATCGATAAACCTACCGTATCATCTCAATTTTGTACCAAATATTATCCTCTATCACGGCGGGATGAGTCAGTCTGTAGCTGCCTGAACCCAAGTCAAACGTAAGCGCTGCTTGCCTATCCAACACCTCCAACGACATAAAGTCAGACTATGGAAGGAGAGAATTATTAATAGTCATATTCATCTTTACAATTATATTGTTATCATTATCATTACTGTCACTATCATAATCACCATCTTTCTATTCTAATCGTCACCGCTGTCGCTACAGCTGTCATCAACATCATCATCGGCATCGCCATAATCACCAGCCTCATCATTTACTGCCTTTCAGTCTAAAGTCCTGCCCAGCCTGTCAAATTTTGTTTGACAAAAACATGTGACATGCCTAAATATGGTAATGATGACATCACATCATAACCATATATAGGCACATCATGACTAAATATGGGCATACATCAATCTTTCGTCAAAGAAAAGCCTATAGTCTGCACAAAGCTTTAGCTACTGTATTAAGCAAGGTGTTTCTGTTAAAAACATAAATAAGAACATAATGATACTGTTATTAATCACGGTAAACTTACCGATTCAGTGTTATTCATGTAAAATATTAGATGATTACCCCCTTGGATTTTGACTTTAACAATGAGAGTGTTATAGAAGGATGAAGTCAGCTGGGGTTTGTAAGATCGGGCACAAGTTCCTCCAGATTGAAGCGAAACACGGATCTACACATCAAAAAGAAAAAATAACAAATATGTTGAGAATTAAACATAACAAGGATTCAAAGCAATTAATGAATAAATGTATTTATCTTAGCAATCAAACCACGAAATACAAGAACAACAGTTTTCAACAGTGAGTACAACTCAATACATTTCCTGTATTGTTCATGAATGTGTTCATCTGTGATATATAGTCCTTAACCTTGTAATGTATGTATGTTACAAAGTATTTTTTATTCCTGTTCATTGGGTCTAGATGATTAAGTGTCGCCGTTATATGGAGGCAGAGGCAGGCAACCCCACCATGAGAGACAAGAACACAGAAAGTGCCTTGCTCAAAGATACAAGCGTGATATACACTACAAGGATTGAAAACCTAACCTTTACCACTTTTGCTAAACCACTTCTCCCAAAGCAAAAGGATTAACAACAGTTCACCAGAGGGGTGTGGTGTTGGGGGGGGGGGGGAGGTTGCAGGAAGAGATTATTCCCCATCTGACAGGCCAGGAATAATCAGCCTTTCCTGTCAAACTGCTCATCCTGGCTCCTCGACTGATTGCTGCTGATAGACAGTGATATATTATCCCTCAATCAATCAATCAATCAATCAATGGATTTATAAGGCACATAATACAGCTGCCTCATGCACCAAGACAAAAAAAAGGCACATAATACAGCTGCCTCATGCACCAAGACAAAAAAAAAAAGACGAATGAAGTGAAGCAAGCAAGCAAACAAAGTCGGTACGAGACCAAGTACCATCAGGGTAGAGTCAGTGTGCCGTTCTTTTGCACTTTAAGGGCCAGCCGACTGAACCTACAGAAACATAATTCGCAGGATCACAGTGACGCTTTATTACTTGACAACACCGGGAAACGACCCAGTCAAGAAAAAATTTAAAAATCAAATAGGCCAATAAATTTAATAAGTAAGCAGAACCAAAGATATGTAATTATAGTTGTTTTTTAAAAAGAGTAATTAACTATGGCAATCCCTGACTGCTGTGTGCCTAATACCAGAAACGACTAATGAAGTACTTCAGAGCTTGGAGGCTCAATGCGGCACTTATCAAGAAAGGTTATTACTAGAGAGTAGTGCTTATACAGAGTTATAAAGTATTGTTTTCCTACAGCATAAATTCAGAGACAGCTATGCTAAATTCAAAATACACAATATAAAAAAAATCAGTTAAGCTATGTTTACACTATGAAATATTATGTGACAAATGTGTGTGATGTGCCCATATATGGGCATGATGATGTCACATTACACCCAAATATGGGCATATCACAGTTTTCTTGTCACATATAATTTGATAGTGTAGACAGAGCTGAACATTCGTTTTCCTGCAACTTACACTTGAAGCAACGCTTCTTGCTTGTCGTATCTGTTCCTTCAGCATTGCAAATTTCCCGATCACTAGACTATTCATAGTGTTGAACTCCTGAACTTTTGATTCCACAGCAGTAGTTGTTTCACGCACAACACGAAATGAAGCGCCAAGTCGAGAGACTAAATACAAATTATAAATATTAATGAGGTGCTTATGAATATTTATAAAATTGTAACTACTGTAAATCGAAAAAAAATAATATAAATGAGAAACAAATTTTTACAATTTCAACAAGAATACTGCTACGACCAAACGACTTGTATTATACCGTACAGTAACTACCTCTTGGTGATCAATTTATAAATAACAATAAAACTTGTAGAATGGCTATCATACATTTGATGATATATATATTACGATTATCAAGTTATAAAGGTCTGTTCTCACTGCCTAATTTTATGTGATTAATAGAATTAACAGTAGTAGTATAATAGTAGTATATATAGACCAATCCAAGAAGAATGGAGCCCTCTGTTGTCGACCCCATTACTGGGGAGTCCGGGAGTCCGTATTCGACTGGTCGTTCTTCGTTAAACCATGCCCACCTAGGCAGCGGTAAAATCCTACTCAACAAAGACAACCAGTTGAAAAGAAAACTTGTAAATACTTGACAAAACAAAATGGCTGTATAGTTGCCGCGATACACGTTGCGTAATCAAGATTGCTTCAACTTGTGGTAGTATGGCTTTTTCATCCAGTTTTTGAATTCTGTTAGCCTACAATTATTTTTTGACTCCATGTGGGTAAATATTATTATTTTTATTTTATAAAAATTTAATCTAAGTTATATTAAAGCAAATGTTGTTTATAAACTCACCAATCGGCCATGTTCTTTTTGGATGTCATATGGATAACTTAACGCACTCTGGTTTACGTTAATTTTCGTTGTCAACGAAGTCTATTTAACGAACCAGTCGAATGAAAATAATACTCAAAGAAAATCGTACTCAACGAAATGAGCCAGTCAAATAAGCCCAAAGTTAAGTATATTTCGTGTATTTAAACATCTTCCAACTTCGGAAATGCTACCAAAGTAATGGAGTCGACAAAAGAGGGCGACATTCAAAAAGTTCTATTGGATTCGTCTATAGAAAAAGTATGACTTTCCCATACATTTATGTGATATGGTAATAATGGTGATGATAATGGTAATAATAATAATAATAACAATAATAATAATAATAATAATAATAATAATAATAATAATAATAATAATAATAATAATAATGTGCCCCAATCTATTGTGCGTCTTACAAACAATGTTTTCCCTATTTTTCCCCTTTTCTGTTCCTGATTTTTATGACTTGTTTCTTGCATTTTGATGTAATTTTTAGCTTTTTAATGATGTCAATTTTAATATCTTTATGATGGTTTTTAAGTGTTTTTATAATGTATTTGCCATTTTTGATGTTTTTATATTAACTTGTTTTTCATGTATTTATGGTGTTTTTAATCACGACCTTATGGTAGAACAGTATTACTATTATTGAAAGAGTTTTCGTAAATAAATAAAGTGACTATCTATCAATCTATCTATCTATATAATATTCAGACACAACTTCTTTGTCATAGACAATTTGATAGTCTTAATGGTGAGTTAAGGTGGTTTTCCACTAGACAAATTTATTCACGCGACAAGAAACCTGATGGATTTGAATAAAAGTATTGAATGAATGAAAAAGAAAAGATTCGCATGAGCACTTGGTTAGTTTCCACTACATGAGTGGAAAAGTTTGCAATTAAAATTGTGTCCATGTTGTCAATGATAGATCGATGTGCCATTCTCATGCATTCAATACTGCATTCATGAGTGTGATTAAATCTTTTCCCGACCTCTATTGGATGCGCATTATTTCGCTTGGCAAAAACTAGAAACTGTTTATGCCGAAGTAAACCACCACAAACAAAAAAGAGAACAATCTGGTAAATGAATTGTGCATGAAAATCAAACTGCATTTGTGCACAGACAAACATTTTGCCAAAAAATTTGACTGGTGGAATGCTGGCTTTAGGGAGCTCATGAAAGGGTTCAACCATTGATTCTCGATTTGGAAGGGAAGCACATTATTTAATAACCCGCTTCATCAAGCAACTGCACTCCTAGGATCTAGGCCTCCTTACTTGTCTTATCAGCTTCCTCAAGAGCAGCATTTCCTGCATTCTGATCCTCCAATCCTTTCTGATACGCTGCAGTACTTAACGCCACCCCTAAGTATACAGCATTTGCTATACCCTTTGCATTCACCGCAGTCAGCTCTGCTTTGTTTGCAATTCCTGTTGCTGCAATAGCTTTCGACCCAAGATCTAAACAAAAAATAATTTTAAGTACACTATGAAAAAAAAACAAATTACATATACTTCAAGACACATGGGCTTAAGACCTGTCCAAATTTCATTGGACAAATAACATGTCACATGTTGAAATCACATCATGACCATTTATAGGCACATCATGACCATATAGGCACATCATGACCATTTATAGGCACATCATGACCATTTATAGGCACATCATGACCATTTATAGGCACATCATGACCATTTATAGGCACATCATGACCATTTATAGGCACATCATGACCATTTATAGGCACATCATGACAATTTATAGGCACATCATGACCATTTATAGGCACATCATGACTAATGGGCTACAACAGTTTTCTGGAAAGTCAATGCATGGCCAACAAACTTTTGTTTGTATGTATCTAATCAAAATTACTATAATAATTATTATTTATTAATACTTAATCACCAAAAATTGAAGATCTGTTCAAGATGAAATCACTGCGTCACTTTAGGGAAAACAATTTAAGCTCCTCCTACCTCTATCGAATGATGCAAGAACGCCAATGATTCTGTCCAGCTCTATAAAGCCATCCTCAAGAAGAGATTGAATGGTGGTGAATTTAGCAATGGCTTCATTCAACCTTTCTTTCAATGCCAGAGACCGATTTTTGGCTCTGTTGGCAGTCTTTAGCTGGTTGTTACTTTTGGTCAGAGCTGACTTAGCACGATCAGGTAATGATGGACCTCCTTCAGGGTAGCTCTGTCAAAATAAGGTTTGATAATGCCAGTCATTTAATAAATAACTGTAATTGTCGGTATGCTTCTTGTTGCTTGCTGTTACTATCAGGCGGTAACCAAACATGACAAAATCATCAGGGCACAAGGAAAAAGACTGAAATTTATGAACATTCTGCAAAATGGTTAAGCCATGCATGAATAGTTTATAGCAACATTTCCCCCTGATAAATTCACTACAGTGTTACTGTATACTAATGATGACAAATGGTTTAAGTTAATTGCTGGTGAAAATATCAACGGGATTAGGACAAACTGATAGCAGATTTAAAAGGAGAGGAATTTTTTGACGGGGGAAGGAAGCAGCAGTGTTAGCACCAGCATGGAGTCAGCCCATCCATTGGAAAGCATGGACCCCTAGTGGTCTGACACCAATTAATGTAAGGTGAAGGTGGAAACCTGAAGCTCTGGGCAAACAGGCTAGAGTGGCCTTCTCTTTTTCCCTGGCGTTTGGGCCAGACTGTGCAAGGCTGTTGGGGGTTCACCACTCCTCCCGCACAGCAGTCTGTTTTACCTTCCCAGCATATGCCGTATCATTTATACTCCTGGGTAGAGAGATACAAACATACACAGAATGTCTTGCCTATGGACACATGTGACTTGCAGGGCAAAGGGTTTCGAACCCCCGACCTCAAAGTTGAGAGTCGAAGTCTGAGCCACAACAGTTGCGCCAACAGCTTCCCCAAGAATCCGATTGATTTTTGGATTAAATATATAAACTTCCAAATTCAAATAAAGTTGTAATTGCATCTCTTTGATATTGTTGTCTGAAAGCTACTGACGGCCTCTTGGTTCGGGACCCCATCAAACTTTGAACTAACGTTGACAAATTTACTAAGTCATCGCTCTGTGTTATATTTCAACCTACCGTTTTAAATGCCTCATCAGATGCATTACGTGCAATCTTACTGGCCGCATCAGCTTCTTGAACTGCCCGCACAATATCGCTGTATGCATTTGCTGCTTTTAGTGCATTTTCAGCATAGTTTTTTGTTGGTCCAAATAAGCTGTATAGCAAGAATAAATTATAGGAAAAAAATTTAATAGACAGTAGGCCTAATTTCTGTAGACTAAGAACTTTGGGCTGATGACACGGACCAGTGGCCTCCACAATGCAGTACCAACTCTGGTTGTCAATGAACATTTCCGGAGTGTCAATCAAACTTAATAACTGAGTGCCCTACAAAAACATGTGTAGTCCCATAAAAACACGTCTTCTAATATTTATGCTATTGTGTAGAGGGACCTTAGCAAACAATATCCAAGGGGCGGGGCTTAGCTGAAAGGTCAATTGAGCAGTACACTCTTCTGTCCTAAGGTCATATTATTGCTACTGTAGCATATAGTGCGTTACTTATTTTATTTATTTATTTATTTTATTTATTTCTTTTCCCAACCAACAGCAAACACAAAGTTCGCCACTTACAGGAGGGAACACAAACGACAAGCAACAATACAAGAAATACATCAAACATTAAACCGAACTACTAATGATATTACGAAACATATGAAAGTCATTACTGAAAATATCTTAGGATTTTTTTAAACAAGGGAATTATAACTTTGACTTAATCTACAAACATAACCATTTTTTAGAACAGTAACTCTACAAAAAAGGAATGTAAAACGTAGGATTGTTTCTGAGATGGCGACTGGGGACTCTTAGATTAAAATTAGAGACTAAATTACAATCGAACATGGCATTAACACATTTATATAAAAAAACAAATTAATTAAAAAAATTTATATAAAAAAACAAATTAAGCAAACAAGACTAAAGTCTATGCACTCCAAATTATTTTCTCAGATCAAAAACCCTACAGATCACATGCTGAACTCCCTAGGAACAAATTTCATAATGTTGCTACTAGCATTGAGCACATTAGCACTGAAACAAGGTTCGAAGTTATTGTACTGAGTAGAAGGAGAGATACAACTGTAGGTAAACAGCCTACAGTTTGACACTTTTCAAGCTCATGACCCCAAAGTTTGAGGTCCTGAATCACAGACCCTGCACTAACTGCAGTGTTGGGCATTGAAAACTGATTTTATATCAACCATTCATTACACTTATTAATAATCACAATCAAAAATAAATTGGAGGTATTTAAAATATCAATTTTTTAGCAATTTTCATATTTTATATTTATTTTTATTCTTTTATTTCAACCATCTTTAAAGAGGGTAATCCTTCCAGTTTAGCCCAGTAGGTTAACTGATATTCAGGGGCCCTCTTTAAAAAAATCAAAGAACAGTACAAACAACATCATTACAACATAATAATAATAATAATAATAATAATAATAATAATAATAATAATAATAATAATAATAATAATAATAATAATAACATACAATCCTCATAACAAGTCTTAAAGTATATGCTTAACATACTACTTATTTTTTTCGATATTTAATGAAGCTTGCATGATTTTATCATGAATCACTATCTGTAAATATTCTTTTTTGTGTAATAATTCCCTGGCTTCTGGAACCCATTGGAAATAGGTCTGGTGTACAAACACTAAACTTAATAGGGGAAGGTGTCATCCATTCATTCAAAAAATTATTTTTTTCTTTAAATATTTTATCATTTAATTTAATATGTGAATGCAAATAAATCAAATCGAATCAAATAATTTATCAGTAGCTTACTCGTTAATAGTCATTGATATCTTCTGTAAATCATCTGCATGGCTGCCGGCCGTGTCTACTATTCCTTGCAGAGGGAGCAGGTTCTGGGCAAGCAGGCCAGTAACTATGCTCAAGTCTTCAACATGCTTTGTCAGGTTGTTGTAGTCTGCTTGTAATATCTGTTTGCCAAAGAAAGTAAGTATTGAAGAAAGAGGAAGACAACAGTATCCAATATACAAATGCTTCTTCCAATTCTATTTCATGGAACACTGTCCTCTAATGAGGTCTTCAAACTCAAGATTACCAATGGGTAATGAAAAAGAATTTGAATAAAACAAGACATAGTTGTGGTTTAATCACCACAGTATCAATATATATGACAAGATTGTGATTGTCACAAAGTAAGACTATACACAGTATAATGGTTTTCAATTTTAATATTGCAATTATTTATAAAAATTACATGACTAAAGTGACAGACAACTTACCTGTGATTCTGCGATACTAATACTGAGGAACCTGTTGGCCTCTATTAACAAAGCTTGAGCATCTTTCAAATTCTTCTCCGTGTCTTTGGCTGACAAACCAGCTGAATATATTTTCATCTGCGTTAATCAATAACACATTTAATAGTAACTTTCACTAGTATTATTATAAAAAAAGTACAATATTAATCATATAAGACACTCACAATCAAAAAATATACAGCAGTCATAAAATAAACATGAAGCAAATAACTACAATATTGACAAGGGTTTTGTTACAGAAGATCTAATTAAAATTGAGGATGAAATTGTAATTGAAAATTTTAGAAAGACTTGTTTTGAATCTTACATCAACTTGTCTCTCATTGGCCAAGCTCTTGAGGTTCAACAAGTGAGCCGACTCGGATGCGTTGTTAGCTTGCGTACTCCAATCAATAATCTCTACAAACTTATTGTTTACGTCATTCAGCTTTCGAAGGATGGATGTGATCACGCTGTTTAGGTTACCTGTATTCTGGTCTGCTAAAGACTGAGCTCTTCGAAGGAGGTCTTGACTTAATCTGAAAGGAATCAAGAACAATATATATTCAAAGTTCTGTGACTACAAAGTATTATTTGAAAAAAGTCTGTGATTTGGCCATATATGGTCATTATATCATATCACTCCCATATATAGGCATCATGATATATTTTCGCAAAAAAAAAAAATCGACCTGCATATGCAGCAATTTGGTAAAGGTAGATTGATTTAGCAAAGTTAGTTTTAAGAATATGATTTTTTTTTCTAGTATTACCTTAATCTGGAGACAAAGTATGTTTCAAGAATATGACGTGTGTAAGCATTATTGTAATTTTAGAATAAATTAAATTCTCTCAAAAATAATTTTATTGCATGATATGCTAGTCAGTCAGACATAAATAAGATTATAAGTTTTGTGGTAATTATGCAGATTTCTTAAAAGCATCAGACAGCCTATACATTTATTAGAACACAAGCTTTATGCAAACAGTGCATTTTAGAATTCTAGTTCGAAAAGGAAATTCACTTACGCTAATTCCTGATTTGTCACATCTGACTGGCCACTAAAATCCTTTGCCTCAATTTCTGCCACTACCCTTTTAGCCTCCTCCAGAATTAGTTTACCTTCTTGGACTGGTTTGGTAGCAAAGTTTTCAATTTGGTTTCTTGCAAATGCTATAGTATCTGTATATAAAGTTCATACAACTGTAAATAAATAGTCGACAGGGGTACAAGTTGTTGAGGTCAAATTGCTGGAGAATCTGTTGTGCAGGTCTGACAGAGGTTTGCAACACATGTATTATCTAAAAAGTGTGTACACATGCATGCACAATCCTATCGCCATGTTTACAATAAAAAAAAAAGAGGATTGGGTGAATATGATACTGCCTCCCAGAATGTTCAATACATCTTAAATCTACTTTATTTTCTGCAGAATGGAAACATTTTAGCTTTAGAGCCTAGCCCTAGTTGGGAAAAATTGTTAAAATCCTTGGAATCTCCAAGAAAACTTTTAAATTTAAAGTGGAGTTTCCTGAAGAACTAGAATTCCTGGAGACTCCAGACCAAGCCTGGAGGCTTGGGAGTTCTGTGTTTGGCCGTTCCGTGGCAAACAACGTAACTTAAAATTTTCACTTTTGAAAAAAAAAAAAAGTTATAAAGTTTGTATGTTTGTAACTTTGCAATAAATTGTCGTAGTCTTTTGAAATTTTGCAGGATTATATATCTACACTATAGACATTGTGATTATTTAAGTTAATTACAACCGTTTTTTTATTACAAAGTTATTAGCGATAATTACAGATACGTTGTTTTGCCTCGGAAACATGTCAGGCTCTGTATTGTTGCAAGTGCGACATATTTTTTGAATATATCACGTTTAGGGCAATCATATGCATTACCTATCTTGTTCATACTTTGCTATTAAGATTACTGATATAAAAACACCAATGACTATTTGATTTTGCCTTGCCAAACTCCATCTGATTAAGATAATTTTTGAATACAATTCCGTGGCAAAACAACGTATCTTCATCGCAGATACGTTGTTTTGACGCGTAGTCTTTTAGCTACATTGTTTTGCCCTGGAAAATCACTAGATTTTAAGTATTGTGCTTAAAGATAGGTGGTGCGATCTCCGAAACGACTCATTACTGAGACCTGACATTTTCCCAGGTCATTCAGATGTGTTTAATATACTCCCAAATGATATTATCTCAAAATTGACAAAAATGTCAGTTACGCTGTTTTGCCTCGGGACGGCCGTGTTGGTTCCTTCTTCTTGGAATTTTTAATTAAAAAATGGAATATGAGGAATAAAAATATTTTTTTTTTTATCTGCAATGAGTTTAAAAATAACAAATCTGTGATGTATTTGGATCACATGATTCTACTGAAACTGGCAGATTGTAACCATTGTTGAAACAGACAAATGAATATTAATTAGCTTTATTGCACAGTTTTCTGAAAATAATTATTTGTTAACATTAATGAATATTTAATTAACAATTACCTTGCACCTTTCTGGAAAGGTCATTAATATAATTCTCCAACATTCCTGCCTCTTGTCTGGTATCTTCAGCACTCTCATATAAGTCTTCAGCATTTCCCTCAACATTAACAGACTAGAAATAAGCAGTACATTAAATATTAATATAGTTCGCTTGAGTAATTTATAAAACATAGAGAGCTCAAACAATCAGACACACTAATCCAAATTATAGATATGATAAAGACCAAGGTGAAAATAAAGTTAGGACACAGTACAAAGTGCATATGCTGCACAGATGGTAAACAGACAGATTTGTTAAGTGGGAAGAGTGACTCACCTCTTTCACCAGTCGTTTTGCTTTCTTCTTCAAGTCTTTCAGTGTTTTGTCTAGCTGTCTAACGTCAGCCGGCTTGGTCAATCTCGCAGCTTCATATTTTTTCTAAAATGAATAAGTATTATTATATTTCTTTTTTACATTTTATGCATATTTCAACAAGTGTGTTCCATTCAGTGAAGCTGATGGTTTAAGCCACAGAATGCTAAGTTACAAAACCAGCTAAATTTTAAACTGAGTAATTAGCCTGAGAATGTGTCAGTATTGTACTTTAATAAAGAGAAACTGTAATACTTTTACTCATAACTTTGGCAATAAGTTGATTACAGTGAATGACCTATAATCATATGTACATAAACAGTCAATTTTTGTTGTTTTCGTCACTGATACTGGCTTTAGCATGGCAAGACCCCCTCACCCCCCCCCCCACCATTTTATCAAGGTAACCAAGAACCATTTAAAAGCATCTCTAAATTATAAAATCTGGAACACTCTATACAAATTTAATTAGATATACTAAAACATAAATCAGTTTTTGCTAATATTTAGACTTTCACTAACAAAATTACCAGGCAAAAGTTTATACAGTACAAACAATAACAATTATATTATGAAACACAATTGACAAGAGAAATATTTTCTTATTTTCACTTTAAATGAAAAGATGAGAACTAGAAAGTAAGTTAATCAAATATTGAATTATATCCTTTAAGTTAGGTTGATCAATGGACACATTATATCTCTTATCAAATATCACAACTCAATCTTATGGATGTTTTTAACTGTATACTATACCTTAAGTTCAATGGTTTCATTTTCGAGTTTGATGAGGGTAGGCCATGGGGCAACAGCAGTCACTTTTAATGAGAATTTGGGTGACCGCATTGAGTCGATCATATTCAGCAGTCTTCCAGTGCAGTTGTTATCATAGCATGCTGGAAAGTAATTTAACAGATAATTTATTTGCATAATTATAGTTCTGTGCTCTGGTATTTACTAAAACTAGACAAGAGATCAATTAATAACCTCAGAATCAAACATTATCTAATAATTTATAGTATTTTTTTAAATGTTAATGTACAAATCATATATTTTTTATATTAAAAAAAAATAACTTAAACAATTGAAATGAGTTAGTACCGTATGTACAGTATGGCATACTTCTTAATTGTATCAGTGTAACAATATCCCACCAATGTTATTTACCTGTTTATTTTTTATGCATTATTATTTTGTATTATGGAAGATGGTTGGTTTTCCTACCACATGTTATAGTATAATATATTGTCATATATGTCATATATACGTTTATACACTATCTATAAATTTGTCTGTGCATCTAACAACAGTAGTATGGCATTTAAAAAAGCTACTATCAATTAATTTCACACTTCACTTGCATTGAATATAATAAAGGTCTTGAAATCTACTTACAAACGCATCCACCTTCCTCAAGACCGTATAAGGGTTCACACTGGTCACATAAGCGTCCCATGACTCCTGTTAAGCATGTGCAGTGACCTGTGACCTTGTCGCATATGTTGGAAACTGAACCAAGGACATCACATTCACATACTGAACACATACCATCTCCAGTAGTCGGGTCACCATAGTAACCATCTGCACACCTGTTGAGTAAACAGTGCATGCAGTAATGCTCCGTTTGATAAGTAATTGGAGCAATTAAATTTAAGATTGAGATTCTTGTACAGTATATTACAAAAATCTATACATGCAACTTGATAAGGAAGTACTGTAGGGCCTATGTGTTCAGGGGTTCATATCAGGAATGATTTCTCATTCATCTCCATACAAACTAAGGTAAAGGATGAATGTCACATTGCTATGATTTTGTTGAAATTATAATGTAAATCTGTCCAAACTATCAAATTTTGTTTACCAAATGCATGTGATGTGCCCTATATGGGCTTGATATCAAATTACACCCAAATATGGGCATATGGCATTTATTTGTCAAATAAAGTTTGATAATGTTGAAAGAGTTTAACTTACTGCTGGCAATATCTGCCGGTGTATCCAGGGGCACAAGCCGTACAGTTCAAGTCACCGTCATCAGCAAGCGAGCAAGTGGGGCTGAAACTAAATAGATTCAATTATAACACTAAGTTTATATGATCACTGTTTTTTGATACAACATAGACACAAGTGGCGTAACATGTCTTACTTTCCAATAACTCCCGCTCGTGGACAGGCACACTGCCTGCAATCGTTGCTTGTGCCTTGAGTGGCATCACCATAGTAGCCTGGGGAGCACTTTTCACATCTTAGTCCAAAGGTGTTGTGTTGGCAGTCCTGGAGAATAACATAGTAACACAAAAAATCATAAAATTGTACAAATGTTCACATTAAACTATATTGTGACATGTATTAAATAAAGTACAAATGTTGATATTACATGCGATGCAACTATACAGCTATATACCTGCCAACTTTGTTGGTGTCTGACGCATGGGAAAAAAATTAAAATGTGAACATTGCGCCCTCTATGTAATAATCACAAAATAGATGGCACTCTGTTATTTTTTTTCTCAATTGTAGTGGAAATGATATGAATTAAGTCATTGGTCGGTATAGCATTTTATCTTTTATAAACATTTTGATGATAATGATGCGTGAGATAGATGCCAGATGTAAAATGTGCATGCTCATATGTGAGACTCACTCATTATGCATGAGACTTGGCAGGTGTAAGCTATTTCATACTCCAGGGACTTTTCTTAAATAAAGATAGCAATAATGCAATTGAGATGACATTATTGATGACAACACAGCAATAAGCTTGAATATGAAAAAATAGCTGACTGAGTAAATTAAAGTAAAGACAATGATGTTGTAAATTACCCAAATCAGAAGTGATGTTGCAAAAGCTAAAAAAATTCCTTGCAAAATCCACTCTGAAGGGAAGTTCAAAGCTTTTAGATGGTAATAGGCTGTCATGTTTAAGGACTGTTCTATTACCTTGCTAGGGATGTTACATCAAGTAAAATTAGCAAATTGTCAGTCTATCTAAGTACACTATGTATTAACAAACTAGACTAACTCACCAGACAAATACCAGTTGTGGAGTTGCAGCGACCTGAATGTCCATTACAGGTACAGGCCTCACATCTACCAGCAAATGGACCATTAGTAATGTAAAGATATCCTGGAGAACATTGCTAATAAGGGAACAAGTTAATTCAAGTTAATATCTTGATAAATTAAAATAAAAAAAAAAAAACACAATAAAATAGCTAATTAATTAGAATCCATTAATATGTATGTAATTAGTCTCTTAATTACCGAACAAATGCATATAATTCTGTATACTTTTTTAAACATCAATAGCAATAATTAAGGTATGTCATCAGTGGTCCAAAGTTGGAAAATCTAAATCCATGAGATCTGTCTAAATGAGCTTTCGTAACACATCTAATTATACTTTGCTGTGTATGGTGACACACATTGGTACTGACTTCCAGAAGGTACCAGTCCCCTGTTGGGGAATAGCCAGGCACCACCACTGCAACCCATACGGTCGTAATAGCATGCAAGCACATACAGTAGCACTGCTCGCACTAAACAGTTTTTAATCCCTAAAATTTGACAGCTTAGTTTAGTGGGGTATGTTTAAACTGTACTTTCAACGTTCGAGATTTGATATTTCCCCAACGAACTTGCTGGAAATTCCCCGACAGCAGGGGTACAAGTGGTGGGTCCACAGATCCCCAATGGGAAGTCCTTTCCCTCCTTGACCCCCTGCTAGCGCCGCCCCTGTTGGGAGATGGATTATTTTCTTGTTTGCTTGAGTGTGGAAGGCCTTCTAGTTTCTGGGACACTCTCGGGACTTGCAGGAGACTTTGGACACCTGTGTCATGAATACTTCCATTTAATCTATCACAATCAATCAATCAATCAATCTATCATTTTCAGGTAAACTTATTTTGATTAATAACTAATTGTAGATAATCTAATTCCAGTAATGAACAACTGTACTCTCTATTCCTACCTACCTCACAAGAAAGCCCTTCATGCCCTGGTGGGCAATCACATTGCTCAACGGAAAGAGCCGCATCTCCTGACCTTCCATTCTGTGGCACAGCAACGTCTAGTTCGATATCAGTAATGCTAACAACCATTGGACTCTCACCGTACGACACACGTAATAGAATCGCTTCAATATCAGTAAATACGTCCATTAGTTCGCTACGACTTACAGTGGCTTGAACGTCGTCATTTTGAAGAAAATTCACCTGAAGGTGGATTTGAATACAGATGTATAAGTAAATACATGATTAGGAGGTTGAAAGTGAGTTTACAGTGAAGAAAACAACAAATTAAACAACAGAGTTTGTTTCGTTAGGTGAAACAAAATAGGCAAATGTTGACAGAAAAAAAGGTTTGGTTGGTTGCAAGAACAATTGGTAATTTACAAGATAATTTGATCCAAAAATAAAAAAAAAACTTTTAATTCAATGATTACAATTCAGCAATGTAAAATCCAAATTTCCTAAAACTTACCTCCAATAATTCCAGCATTCTCAGTGAACCTGACTGGTCAGCTACTGCTGTCAGTACTCTGTCACGGCCTATGACCACAATGTCAGGCTCATCATCATCAAGAACCATACCGGAAGTTGTCTGGATCATGTAAGTCAGCTTACCGCCGTATGAATTAAGCTAAAAAGCACAATAAACAGTTGTCAAATATTTGAAAATTACGAAAGGTTATGATTGGCTAATACAGGATAATATTTTTACCTTTTTACCAAGGTACTGTTTTGGTAGATTCAGATACACATGTGAACCAACAGCTGGTCCAGCAAACCTCAGATCAACAACTACGCCCTCTATCATCACATTTAGACCAGCTTCAGTGATGACACTCTGATCCCTGTTGCTTAGCACAAACATCCAATCAGGGTGTGATGTTAACTAGAGCAAATGCAAATATTAATAATTAATATTACATGAAGTATACAGTAAAATTAGCTGGACAAACAGGTGGGGGGGGGGGGGAAGTTCACAAAAAATCTCCCAGAGGTCAACATCCACCACCACCACCACCGCTACTACCACTCTGTCACGTTGGACTATTTTCAAGTGAGGATGCATTACCAGGGAGCAGTGTTTTACCAGCAAAATAAATGATATGATATGAAGTTTTGAGTTATGTCTTGCTAGTGTTAAAGATTATATTGAGCAATTTGAGTGGTTGAGAGGTTAATAGGGATGCCATAAACCAGAGCCTAACTAATTAACCGCAATCCAAGGCACTTGTTGCTCATGTTTTGTGTAGTCTTCTCAGATAAGGACTATAAACTGTAGTCTTAAACCAGGCACCCACTGCCAACAACCGTCAGACGTTGTCACGTTGTGTAAAGCTCGCAGTGTGTGTCTGGTTTTAATGTACACATGATAAATTATGTGCACTTTCAAAAACCAAGGACATCAATCAAAAAAGGAGTGGGGGGGGGGGGGGAATGCCCAAGCATTCTGGTCTGGCTTTAGCTCTAACCTAGACATTTCACCTATTAGTAGCAACTTGACATAATGGAACTCTTTGGTAAAAAGTTGTACAAATTAGTTAGTCCAAGCGCAGAGACCATATTTTACTTTCATCAACACCTTTACCTTAAATAATATGTTCTTTACATTCATGAATTAGAATGAATTAAACATTCATGAATTAGAATGAATTAATTGAATTAGTCCACATTTTTCCCTTTTTCAATTTTCAATTAATTGTATATAATATGTTCTTACCACATTTCGTAATTGTTCTTCATCTTTTGGAAAATGCAATACCTCCTTTTAATGTAACAAATTTACTCAGAATTAGTAATTCAAAACAGTTTATGTTATATCCAACAAGTTTACTTAAATATCTCCTCCTGTAAATGTCACATAAATAATAGATATTAATAATTATTTACCTTTTTCATGATATAGTCTGCTGCCTTACACTGTGAAGTAACTCCTGAACACCAACAACTAACACAGCCACTGGGAATGGCTGCTTGGAGACTAAATGAACCTTTTCTGCATTTGTTACACCTTTTACCTTTGACACTTGACTGAGAAATGAAAATAAAGACAAGTGATACATAAAAACATCAGCATCAATGTTTTATTGTGTTACTTTGTGCACAACATAACTCAAAATTGTATTCACTTCATAAGGGGACAAATGGGATGATGCTAATTTTTCATATCCTTTTAATAGACTTGTGACAGCTAGGATATTAGATCAGTTGTCTGTCATTGTGAAATTTCAAAGATGCACATGGGGGACCCTAAGAAGGTTGCGTCAACAGAGAGCGCCCTTTTCTAATTGGATTTGTCTATACAAGAGAAAATGTTAATAAACCAACCTAAAAATATTTTAGGCACTAACCAAATGGTGCCCTCTATACTAATACTAATTAAGGTGCTTCTTCTTACTTGTCCTGTCTAAATTGTATAAAACCCACAACCACTAATGACAAATCAGTCTTCCCCAAAATCTTGACTGCTTTCTTCCTTTCATGGCAACAGAAATTCTTCATTCTTCCCATCATACCCTTATTGAACAACACATTTAAAGCCTTTTTTCTCTGCATGCACTTTGACTAACCTATGACCTCACTCTTCACCCAACTTAATTTTTTTTTTCTCGAGACAGTAAAATTGTCCTCCCTCTTCCATAATTTTAACATTCATCTATATGTATTCAGCATCTATATATTAAAAAATAATTTTTCCATTTTATGTAACATCGAAATTAATTGTATGTAAACATTTCTATTTTGTAATTTTCAAGGTAGATGTTACAATGCTGGTCTTTATAAAATTGAATATTGAATTTTATTGTACCTTGCAATCACATTGGCCATCGTTCTCACAGCTGCATCTATTGCCATAGCAACTGCTTGGCTCCGAACCAGCAGTATCACATTTGCATTTCCTGCAGGTGGGAAAATCTAGGTAGCCAAATTTGCACCTGTCACAAAACGGCTTCATAAATTGCCCATCACATCTAAACAAAACAAATAAAATAAAGCATTATTCCATCCCATCATTGGAAAGAATACTACTTGCTGTTAGATGTGAAACTTAACAATAAATACTTAATTTAATAAAGAAAAAATCTTGACATACCAGATTGTGAGCTAAATTTAAAAACATAAAACATTGGCAAGACCAGTGTACTCACACACAATTACCAGTGTTGTGGTCGCATTGAGGGTCACTGGAACCAATAGTGCTGCAGTTACAAGGCTGAAATGTATAATAATAATATTATTATTTTATTATTATTATTAATCAAACATGAGAAAAATAGCATTACAATATCATTCATGAAATATAAATAAATGAAATGGCATACAATATAAAAAAAATACAGAATGGTAAGATAGAGTTGGTATTTCTCAATAATCTATATATTAACGTTTTTAATTATTAATTCAATCTGTCAGGATGTAAATCCTAAGCCTTTTCGAATGAGCATGATCTTGTTTACATATCTACATCAATTCATCACATTCTTCCCTTGGAGACAATTAGAGTATTAATAATCGAAACGTTAGGAAACATTATAATCCAAACGGTTTCTTCTCAGAACCAAAACATATCCATTGAGATTTGTAGCATATGCCACACAATGTACCGAAAGTATAGAGTACCACAGTCGTGTCGCCCTCTGTTGCCAACCAGACGTTGTTAACGTTCATTACGCCTGAATGACTACATAGGATTTCTGGAATGGGCATTTTAAAATCTAATATTTTACCATCAAAATGTACTAAAAACACAAAAGCTTGCATTATATTAGTTCTCAAAAACACATTTAATCATCAATTAAAATTTACAAAAAAAGACTAACATACAACATCTTAATAATTACATTAGAAATTTACATTAGAAACAATGGTTTGTCAGTGGAGAAAATGGCATCCGGTTTAACCCATTTTGCAGCGATAGCAACGGAGTAATATAACGTGGTATCGTGGCGTAACACTGCAGGGGCGGATCCAGAGATATCCAAAGGGGGGGGGGGCCGAAATTTGGGCCGATCAAGACAGCACTGAAATAGGAGGTCCGGGAGGAGGTCCGGGGGCATTCCCCCGTGAAATTGATGTGTTTGAGACGCCAGAAATTAACATTTGAGGCGTTCTGGGCTATCGTTTTTTCTTTTCCTTTCCTTTTTTTTTTTTTTTTTCCCCTCTCAAAAGGTAGGACCGGGGCCGGGTTGGTCCCCCCCCCCTAAATCCGCCCCTGCACTGTAGTACTCTATATAATAATTATTAAATCATATTATTATTATTATTAATGCACCAGATTCACCAAAATTGTGATGTAAATATTTAAAAATATCGGTTTAGAATAAAGAAATAAAAGGTGTTACCTTGCAACCATCGATGGGATTGTATCCCCAAGTGTTGGGTGCACACCTATTGCAGCTTATTCCTTCAGTGTTGGGGGGACACATGCAATCTCCAGTAACTGGATTACAGGAACCTCCAACTCCACAATCACAGGCTACAGTAAAATAATTCATTTACTATTAAATATTTGTATGTACAGTACACTTCACATATCTTTTACCATTCGCACACACATTTCTCGTGAGGGGGTGGTTTACATGTGACTCGCATGTTGTGAGCTAATGAATTAGGAAGCGCCCAATGTTCAATCAAGCATCACAGCATTGAGTAAAACAGCTGCCTGTGGACTGCCTAGTTTGCAATCAATGAGTCACAGTGAGAGAGTTTATTGCAAGTAACAGTAGCCCCTCCCTGGTTTAATAACAAAGGAATAAATTATAGTATATTAATCTCTGATTAATCTCAACAATGGTTTCAAGACTGGAAATTTAATTGCTTATTCAAAAGATTGCTTTCTTTCCTCTATGTTATTATAATTGAGAAATTAGTTTCCTCCATGTTATTATCAACCAGACATGTGATAAATAAAATTCTTTTTGCCTACTTCATACATTGAAAGACATAGAAAACAATAAAAGGCAATTAAATATATAAAAATATTGAAAAACAAACAGACACAATACAATAATTAATATACTTATTATACAGTAGTTATTATCTGGCAATTCTATCAATCTTATGGCCCTGTCACACCTTCACGATATAGCCAGCATATGCCGACGTATGCAAAAAATGGCGAATACGCTGGCGTACGTCGAATAAGTTATTGGTAAGTTTCGTATAAGTTAAGAGCACGCTGAAGCACACTGGTATACATCCTAGTACGGTGAGTATGTCGAAAAGTATGCCAGCGTATGGTCATAGGTTGTATGTAAGTTAAGCGATCGTTGACACACGCTGACACACATTACTTGTAAGTTACTCAAAAGTCAAAAAGTATTTGTAACCTATGAGTAACATGCTTCAAACTTATATATAACTTGTAAAAAAATTATCTCCAACATATATTCAGGTATGTAGACGTATTTGACATGTTCCAGACGACCACAAAACTTACTGAACTTGTTTCTAACTTACAGTTATCGCATAACGGCGTACTGGCAGCGTTTAGGGGAATAGGTATATATATTAAAATGGAGTGATGTCAATACGCTGATGTTGATACTGCGATGTCTAGTGCGGTTATGATTTGAATCGGCCAGCGGCAGCCTTTTTATAGGCTACGTCACATGATCATCAGCGATACGCTGCCGCGCGCTGTGCATAAGGTAGACTATCGCTGAGCATAAGTTGTGAATGCCAGCAACATGCTAAGCATTCATTCGTGTAAGTTTTCTATAAAGATTAAAATGTTGTATATAAGTTACTAATACTGTATTTATACATCCAATACGTTGTGAATACGCTATAATGCGCCCAAAGTTGAAGAAAAAGCATCGAGAAATTTTTATGCGTTTGGCATACGCTGACTAAATCGTCAAGGTGTGACAGGGCCATTACTACTTGCAAAAAAAATTTTAAAATAGATCATATAGAAAGAGAAAACTGTATGGATGTTAGCCTTGGGCCTAGCATATACCTAACCCATAGCATACTGTATAATTTTAAAAGCAGTAACGTCTTGAAGAAACTCCTGTGCAATTTTGTCATTGATTTTAACTTTTTAATCTTTTTGAATTTTTAAATTTTTGAACTTTCAAAATTTTATATTGTTATAATTATTGTTTCAAATTAATACATTTTAACTTTTTAAACTTTTAACTTTTAAATTTTTCATTTTTTAAATTTTCATCTTTTCAATTGTTTTATATTTCAATGTTTTTACCTACTTTCTAAAATTGTTATCTCTATTTTTACTTTTTTGATGTTTGTCAATGCTGTTTATATTTGTCTGGGATCCTATTAAAAAGGTGCCAGCATTTGCTAGCTTTATGGGCCATCGTGGTTCTCCATTCACTCTGTCTGCTTTTAGGGTTTTACTATTTTAATCGTTTTACTTTTGCTTTGTGCAAACTTTTCTGTAATGTTTTGCAATTTGGAGTACCTACTAAATTTCATTTCAATAAAATTTTCAATAAACTTTCACAGGACTTAGAACACTTTCATGTCTAGACACTCATTCCCTTGATAGTTTTAAATCTGCTTTTAAAATGTCTCTGATCTCGGTATATGGTGAGTAAAGTACATCATTCAATAACAATAATCCTATGATAATGATTATGTCCTATATGTCTATGGTAATAATAATGATAATAATGGTTCGAGTGTCCCGCCAGAGGCATTTTATTACACAATTTGTTTATTTAATTCATTTATTTACAGGACTACATTTGTTGTGAGCTATGCTACACGATGTATTATTATGTCCTTTATTCGAACACCTGTCTCTTATACACATCTTTAGTTAGCAACTATAAACTGCTTAACTATTATTTCAATTTATTTTCTTATTTGTTTTGTCTTGTGAAATCTTAATTAGTTATTATAAGTATGCATAGGGGGCTATAGCTTAAAGTTATTGAGTTTCCCCAATAACGTATTTAGCCTCCTCCAATGTATATGATTTATTGGAAATAATAATAAACAAACAAACAAATGGATTGTTAGAAAAAGCGAGTAAATTTGCTTATGTACCTCGACAACCTCTGGCTGAGAATGAGTAGAAACCTGGCGCACACTGGTTGCAGTGTACACCTGTCACCCCCGCTTTACAAATGCACTGTCCTGTTACACCATCGCAATTGCCATTCACAGATCCTAGGTTGTTACATTGACACGAAAGACAGCCAGTGTCAGAGACATTGAAGTATCCAGGCTTTAATGACAAAAAAGCAAACTTTTATAGCCACAGAACTATATAGGAAACATTAGTTAAAAAACAAAACATTAAATTCAAATAGTCTTTTAGTCTCAATTCATTTATGATTTACTTTATTATTTGTATTTTAAGATATGTTTACACTACTAAAACATTTCTTTTAAATGAAAAAGAACTGTTGTATGCCCATATATAGTCATGATGTGCCTATATATGGTCAGGATGTGATGTCATCATGACCATATTTAGGTATGTCACATGTTTTTGTCAAATAAAATTTGAAAGTTTATACAGGGCTTTACATTTTGGTAAAATGGTTTCAAATTACAAAAATTAAATCACAAATGTGTCTTTCTGAACAAACATTGTTAAAGAGGACAGAAACAAGCAGTTACTCATATATAATGAATAGAATTTACCTGACATCTATCACACCTGCGACCGGTCACCTGGGGTTTACAGAGACAGGCACCTGTGAAGTGGTTGCAGGTGGGTAGGATGGAACCAACAGCATCACACCGACAAGCTGTAATGTGGAAAGTAAAGGTAAAGCAACTTTATAATAGGTTCCATCTGAGGAGCTATAGTGCACTGCCAATCCTTGTGCAAACAGGCAGACTACAAGTTTCAAAAAGCAAAAACATTTTATACCTTGGCAGTTTCGATTGTATACAGCATCACCATAATAACCATCGGTGCATCGTTCACATCTATCCCCAGCTGTGTTGTAAACACATTTTAGGCACTTTCCCTCGATACGATCACAGCTTTCGGGGACAGAGGGATCTATATTATTATTGCAGACTATCTGACATGGTTTACACGTATCACCAACTTTAGTCGGGTCTCCAAAATATCCACTTGCACATCTACATAAAAGCATAGAAATCCATAATTCATACACAAAAAAAAATTATCATTGATGACAATGATAATTTAAAATATGTAAAATAATATATAAGCATAATACTTTAATATATTATATTCACAATTCAATATTATTAATTTATCACCACCAATACTTTTCAAGTTTGAATGGAATATACCAAATTCTGAAATCAATTACATGAATTTATTTATTTCATTTTTTTTTATGACTATTGCATATTTATTAGAAATATTTTTACCTTTCACATCGACGACCTTCGTAGCCTTCTTGACATTGATTACAGATATACCCAAGATTCCTGTCAACTTGACATGTTGGACTGAAACTATACACGAAAAACAAAACAAATGTTAAACATATTCCCACTGTCTGTGGAAAATCAGAAAAAAACCTCTCTAAAATCCACAGAAATGAATAAAAAAGGTTATCAATTTCCATTGAGATATACAATAGAAGAAGATTTTGCTGATTTCCGACTACCATGACAATTCTTTTATTGACACATTGTGTATTGTATAATGTTAAAATACTGGTTAAGTACATATTGTATCGCAGTAAATCTAATCATATTAAAGAGTTTCTTACCTATTACTCGTTTCCAAAAGAGGACAAGCACAACGCTTGCAATCATCCACCCTGCCAATCAGTGGGTTGCCATAGAAACCGGGCAGACAGTACTCACAATTCGGTCCATAGGTATTATGCAGGCATGTCTGTTGATACATATTCAAAGCAAGTGAGAGTTCATGTGCATCAGTAAAACGAAAAATAAACCAAATCTGACAGTGATATATGTTTGTTGTATTTAACTGTGCTCTGAGTACTGTTTGTATGTTTTATTGAGGAGAATGAAATAAATTATATTAGAGGTGACCTCCCTGAATACAGTAAAACACCACCAGGAACAAAAGTGTTCCCTTAAATAGATGTTGGCCATAGTGTTAAAAGATATACTTTCCTTCGTTTCTTGGCTGGAAAAGTGTCCCCTTAATAGGGGTGTCCCTTAATAGGGATGTCTCCTTAATGGGGATGTCCCTTAATAGGGGTTTCCCAAAGGAGGTGTTCTACTGTAACAGAATCACATACGACATTATATCAAAGAGCAGAAATTATATAAACAAATTTAACAAAATATGTTAAAGTTGCAGGGCCATACTGACTAAGATTTACATGTGTTGACATCTTTCCAAGATGAATTAAGGTACCTACGAGGCATTCGCCAGTAATGTCATCGCAGCTGAGAGCATGGTTGTTACAATCACAGCTTTCACATTCCCCTTGCAGTAACAGTCCGCCCACACGCCGATAGCCAACCTCACATTCCTGAATAACCAAATACATAAATCAAACAGACCAAACAAACAATTCTCTTTGCTAGACCTACTGGTTATATATACAATCACTTTATTCAATAACACATAACAATATAGTATATGAAATAAAAGTTACCAAATATTTACAGGCCTACGTCAAATCTTGATCACAATTTATCTACCTACCTGGATTTCAAGACTTAAAGCTTAAAGCTTTTGTGCCCCTCTTGACTTTATTTTTAAAAATCACATCAAGAACATTAATTGTGCTGAAAAAATGTGAGGACTTTTTCCACAACAAATTACAAACTTCAAGAATCAAAAACACACTTAAGGGTTCTTTATGACTTCACTGGATGTAAATTACGTTATGTAAACAATACCTATAATTACAATATTAATATTATTAATATTATTATTGATATTAATTTATTATACATAACTTTATTATTTTGCTTATTTTAATTATGTTCGAAAACCTACTTCGCAGGACAACCCTTCAAAGGTTGGAGGGCACATGCATCGTTCAACACTAGTGTAAAATTCAGCTTGCGGGTCTGTGTTATCCTCTGACACGACATCTAGCGACACATCTTTCAACCTGCAAATACCAAAGGTACAGTAGTCTAATACAAAAGCAGAGTAGTCAAATATTTTGTCTCGCTGTACAATACATAAATTTTCTTTATTCAGCCAAGGAGGCGGTTTGACGCAGAGGAAATGGTTTTGGTTTCCCAACCTCGAGGTCTAAGTTTCAATCCTTTGCTGTGCATTTCGCTCGTGTCCCTGAGGAAGGCACTCTATTTACACTGCTTCAGTCTACCCAGCTATATCACTAGGTACCAGCAAATTGCTGGGAGTAACCTGCAGTCAACTAGTGTCACATCCAGAGAAGCATTACGCTCTCATCCGCTTCACGCTACTTTGAAACTGGGGATAAGCTCTAGCACCTATGGGCCCTATAACTCGGCAAGGATTTACTCAGTCCTTCGGAGTGGAAGATTCATCCTTTAGGTTGATACTAGGTGCATGGTAGATCCTAGACTTATCTTGTAGTGACAATAATTGAGCTTATTATCTGTGAATAAGCATACTGACATAATACAGCTATTCTAAATATTGTGATGGGACCACCTAAACCACACCATGTTGTAGCAATTAATGCTTTGTTTTCTTTTATTTAAAGGTAAAATGTAACCTTGTCACCTATATCCCACAACAGTAGGGACCCATGGCCATTTTCTTAACAAAAATAAATGCGAACACTAACAATGCCAGGAGGTGTACCTTACCTGGAGATAGTTGCTGCATTGCTATAGCTGGCTCTAATTTGCAATCTGTTCAGGCTCGCTAAAACCGACATAAAATCGCTCTGCGTTGCTTGCCGACCGTTCAACCCTTTCCTTATATCTACATTTTCATCGTAGACGTTCCATCCATCTTCAGTCATCAGTATACTGACAGCCTTGTCTTCTTCAGAGTCAATAGAAAGAAAGCTCCTGTACAGGATTATACCATTTCCCTGGAGGGATAAAAATTAAAAATAATGGTATAATTGATGTTAGCCATATCAAAATCTCATAAAAAGAATGTTTGTGTGCCACTAAAACATAGTTGAAAAGGATATTTGCCTCTGTGTGTTTGCATGGCAGTGGTAGATCCAGAAATTCGAAATAGAAGGGGACCTGAGGGAGGGACTTTCACAAATGCAGAGTGTACAACCTGAGCCCCACCATGATTGGGGGTGACGTAAGACAATTTATATTGGCTGCAATTTATACTCACCTGTATTATAAGGTCTATTCCTGGGATAGATTTAATGCCTAGTCTACCAGTTTCATACAAAATCGTAAATTTAAACTTGCCACCATATGCAGTCAACTAAGAAAACAAAAAAGATAAGATAAAACTTTTCTTTAGAAACTGTGATTAACATAGAAATGATGATAATGATTGCTTATTGGAAATCAAAAAGTATTTATTATTATTATTATTATTTCTATTATTACCTCAGAATATTCATAATGATTTATACAATCTATTATATAATATTAATGTAATCATGAAGATAGTCAAACCTTTCTTCCAAGGTACTCGCTGGGGGCGCTCCAGTAATAATTTTGTGTTTGCAGTCGCTGCACCACGGCCTCATGATCAATGGATATTTGGGTGATGGCATCTTTTTGCGGAAGTATTGAACTTGATCTGTCAAAGTTTGTGACAAGCCAGCCAGACATTGTTGTAATCTGGAATGAAGAGAATAGTTATTTTGAAGATAGTTACTAAGAGAGCGATTTTTACTGGTGAATTAAAATGATCAAGATGGGTATAAAAGTTCAGCTAAACGGAGGTGTTGTATATAGATTCATTCAGTGTAAACACCAAGGATAACCCACAAAGGTCTGAAGAAAACTTATTTCCAGCGGGGGTCCTTCTGGTGGTGATTAGGCAGTACACTTTTCCGAAGAGTTTACTGCATTCTTTAACGTGTACATGAGCCAAATAACAGCTTAAATGTCTCATCCGAAAAATGGCAACTGGTATTTTAGCCCTCCAGCTGGAGCTCAAGGAGAGCAGGGATGGGAACCGGTTTAACCAGACTGAGCTAGGCTGCACTCTCTGTGCTAGAAGAGTGTGTTGTACTGGTAGAAATATAAGCAATGATGTTACCTTCTTGATACCCCAAGGTACACTGTCGCAGACGGTTGTCAGGCCAAAACAGAAGCACTTTGTGCAGCCCATTGGGTTGTACCTCTGCAGGTTGAAGTAGCCAGGTTTACATTCACTGCACTGGCTTCCAATAACATTACGCTGTCAATACAAGCATGTCAAAACTAAGTGTTTTATAGGTTTTTCTAATTTATAAAAGTTATTTAAAAATATTTAGGCAAGCTAAAAAAGGACTTCATGATCCCTACCCTATGGTAGTAAATCGTCTCTTTTTAGCCTTTTACATTATTAGGGTTCTATTGGGTTTTTTACAGAATGTTAAGGTTTTTGTTCTACATTTTCATTTAACAGCAATTTTGTTGCCTCGGAATGGTATTCAAAATTTGTCTTCAGCTAATGGAGTTTGGCAAGGGAAAATTAAATGGTTAGTTGTGTTTTTATATCAATAATCTTAACAGCGGCGTATGAACAAGCTAGCTAATACATATGATTGCCCCAAATATGATAAATTCCAAAAATATGTCTTACTTTATTCAATACCAAACCTGACATGTTTCCGAGGCAAAACAACGTATCTGTAATTATTGCTAATAACTTTGCAATAAAAGAACAGTTGTAATTCAAATTTCATATATAATCACAACATCTATACATTCCTGCAAAATTTCAAAAAAGTTCGACAATTTATTGCAAAGTTCCGAACATTTAAACCTTAACTCTATTTTCTTCAAAATTTCAAGATACGTTGTTTTGGCACGAAACGACTGAATAATACACTTTAAACAGTCTACAATATCATTCTCTTGTGTCTCCTAAAACATGTACTGTCAAATTTTTTTATAATTGAATCCATCCTAAATAAGACCCAAAGGCAATAAGTACAGGGATTACATTTTTATTTATTATATTTATATTCCATGAAATGCTTGCACCTAGGGATGAAACATGAGCCATTTCATAGCCCATCATTGATGCAAGCTGGGTTATCTAAGCATGGCTGGAAAAATTGGTCAGCATTGGGTTTGAACTCCTGACCACAAGTTCAATAACCAGACTGCAAACAGCTGTGCAAAACTACCCCTCCCCCCTCCCCAAAATATAAATCTAACTTACTTTACATAAGCATGGCTCATCGCAAGGGTCAGAGTTCAAGCTTCCAAGAGCACTGCATGGACATGGCATGCATAGCGGGAATCCACGGTAACCAAATGCACATCTGTCACACTTGGGCCCTTCAAATCCTTCCTTGCAAATGCAGTCCCCAGGGTTCTAAAGAAAGTGCATAAAAAGGTAGATTGTAAGTGGTTTATGCACTTTATACATGGGCTATTCTACTTATTGAAATACTAAATATAGATTCTAAGTGAGTTTTCAAGACTCTGTCAGACAAAGCTTGTCTACTTCAACCACTTCATCCCTTAAATGCAAGGTAATACCACATCTTGTCACCGCAAATTGTAGACTCAATAGCTTTCTGTGGTAAGTTTGGGGGAAACCCTAAAAAATTCAATTGAAACAATGAATAGGTCATTCAAAAAGTTCAAAAAGGTCAACTTCCAATGAGGCTGATTAAAACAATTTAGTTTCCACTGATTTAGATTTTTTTACAATGAAATTTCTCAAGTTGATAAACTGCCAATTTCAGCACTATGAATTGGATTTATGCATCTGGCAATTGACAGGGGAAACTCTTTCTAATTTCATTCTAATTTTAAATTGAAAAGCTAAAGAACCTGCCTCAATATATAAAGTACATCATGATATTGGTCGTCTATGAATGAGATACCAGGACAAACTAACTAATTGCTTTTGTTCCCAAAAGAAAAAATAGAATAGTCTGACCCAGGGCACCATGTATGAATGGTCTAACAAACAACAGTCCTGTACTAATTTTTCAATAATTATAAGGTGTAAAATGGGCAGTTAAGCCCCTTTTTCCCCCAGTTTTTAAATATTAAAAAATCTGTATCTCATTCACCGTTCCCCAGTTTTTCGTCAAACAACTTTTTTTCTGTCTTAGAAAAATCAGTTCTACAACATATCAAAAAAAGTTTTTCCTCAGGAGCCTGACTTTAACTTACTTTTCCAGAAGGAATATCCCTGTCACTCTTGATACACATCATCATGAAGTCAAAGGTCACTTTGGTCCCAACTGGATGGCACTGACACCCTGATGTTTAATAGAGGATAAAATTGAATAAATTAAAAAATAAAGCAATGAAGAACAGGAAACAGAACTGCGAATAATATGTCTAGATATAAAAAAAAAGGTATTAAATGATTTGATTAATTGTTGGATTCAACACTAGACACTAAGCACAAGCTTGATGGTCTAGTGGTTCTGACACCCGGCTAGTTATCTAGAGGTCGTGGGTTCGATTCTCACCTGAATGGCTAGAAAGATTATTTTTCGCAAGTGTTTGAGAACGTACTGAATATGAAGTACGATAACACATCAGGTAGGACTAACATCATTCCTATGAAATTTTCTGGCGCATTAAACAACATAAAAATTACACAAATCATTCGTGATGTTGGTAGTCTATGAGTGAGATACTTACCTGGATAACCGACTAATTGCCATTGTTCCCAAAACGGAACACCCCTTCGAAAAAAAAAATGGAACAGTCCGACCCAAGGCGCCACGTGCGAACCGTCTCCCTAACAAACGTCCTCATTCCCTTTTCGACGTTGTTCGAAGTTGGATACACCCAGCCTTTGAAATTTCTAGCAGTCTTTTCAAGCTATTCTAATTTTGCCTTTGGATTTATTTTCAACTTGCAAGATATCCTTTGTTTATTGTAGTCTCGATCGGCATGTCCGCTCGCAAGTCTTTGTGCACAAAATAGACTCATGAAGTTCAACTTACTAGTACATGGGAATGGATCATCAGGTTCGATTCCTAGAGGGCGGTAGAAACCATCTTTACACGTCTCACAATTGTTCCCCGCAGTATAGTGTCGACAGTTAATACAGACGCCGCCACCATCATACTTCCCAAACACGTTTAAACTTTCTTGCCGTCTAGCAACCTCAGCACTATAGTAACATGTGTTTGCATGGCCATGACAATTACAAGCTAAAAGAAAATTGTTTAAAGAGTATAAACATATCTAAAATTCTAAATATGCTTATGTAAAAGGTAGAAAATAAAATGTTGCCTATGTTTCTATCAATTATTTGTTGACCTAAACTTAAAATTCAGTGGTAGATCTAAGATTTAAGAATGGAGAGGGGGGGGGGGGAATGATTAGGTATTGAAAAAATATTGTTTAAAGGGGGTCCAAAAAAACGTTTGTTCCTTACAGGCACGGAAATGGTTTTTCCCGCATTCTGAGGTATGTTAATAATGTTACATTCCTTCAAAATTGAGGGTTTTTTTTAATATAATATAAAGAAATGATGACGATGATGATGGTAATTATTACATGTGAGAGAAGCGAGTCCATGGCTGGGTTCAATGAGTGGATAAGTCCCCCTTAAATAATTCTGAAGATGATTTGATAAAAGGTAGGCTATTATAGATGCTATTACAAGTTATCTTTGACTTCAAGAACATTACTTTGTTTCTAGTTCTGTACTGTTCTTGGTCAGAGGGCTTGGCATAGTCTATATCTAAGGATATTTTTGAAGGGTTGGAGGTGGTATTGACCCCCTGGATCAACCCATGACTGTCTATGTTGTGCTAATGAATTTGAAGAACTTGAAGTACAAAATTCAATACTAAAATTGCTTGACTTTAAGTTATTATATTAGATTTCAATTGATTGGATAAATAAATTCAATTGGTTCAATAAATTGGAGCAAAAAAATATTGCTGCCAATTAACAGAATGCATAAATAATTCCGATCATGATTATTTTTTACATACTTCCTTAAATTGGAGTGTAATAAATCCTGGAACAAATATATAGTTGTCTTAAGGCATATCTAAGGAATTTTGTAATAAAATATCTGTAAACCAGGAAGGAAAGTCTAATTTATTTCAATCTATATTTCATTGTAAGATGATAAGTTATTTTCTGGGAAGTACTGTATGGTACGGAAGCTTAAAGTGACCTTCCGCGTTTCCGAGTTTCCAAGATAATTATCATGGAAACATGGAATAAATACTTATTAAGACGTCTTTCCGAGATAATTTATCTCGGAAAGACGGATTTCCGAGATAATTTATCTTGGAAAGACGGAATTCCAAGATAATTTATCTGGGAAAGACGGAATTCCAAGATAATTTATCTTGGAAAGACGGAATTCCAAGATAACGTATCTTGGAAAGACGGAAGTCCAAGATAAATTATCTTGGAAAGACGTCTTTCCAAAATATGTTATCTTGGAAAGACGGAATTCCAAGACAACATCGAGGAGACGAAATTCAAAATTCAAAGATAGACTGAAAGCTGTAGTAATTATAAGGAAAGTTGAGCTACCTGTAACTTACCAATGGATAGGCCTATATTCAATTTGTTCAAGTTCAAAGTTGTGAGTGATTATTTCATTGTGTGTTGTTCTGTATTTTCACGCATTGTTCTGTATGTACGCATCAACATCTGCTTATTAAAACGCATGAAAAATAGGTCTACGTTAATTTTTAATGTATAAAAATTAATTTTGTTTTTTTTGTGCCCTAATTTGTTTACAAAAACGTAATGCAATAATATCATATTGACTACTATTGTATATTTTCGGAAAATATTTCAGCCGCTCCATCTCTTTCCTATTCTTCCTTCTTCCTTTATTCTTTCACAATTTTTCGTTTTACTCATATTTTTCAAGATTTTATACACTCACATATAGTAAATTGTTTAGGCCTAGACTAGGCTATACCTCGGCTT